TGGATCACTGACGAGGGTTAACTGATCCGAATGTGAAGGACAGCAGCGCTTTAGTCGGTATCCTCAGAAATAGACCTTCATAACCCGCCGCTTCTTATGCGGATTAAAGTCAAATATATACTTTAGAATTGTTCTGTCCCGAAGTCTCATGTCGATCTAAATGTGTATTAAACAATGTGAGACTTCAAAATTTTATTGCAAAAGACTCAAAACTTTCTACAAAAGAAATTGCAAAAATGAGTGTTTGCAAAAGTTTTGCAAAAGGCCTTTTTGGCGAGCTTTCGGCGCTTAGCGCCTTTGTCGAGCCTGAATGAATTCAAATTATACTGTCCGCCTGAATAGACGGAAAGTCGAGAATAAATATGCACAGAAAACCTTTTTTTCGCCGTTTTTAGCTTTTTTGCCTTCACAGCCTTAGGAGCGCTGCTTAGTCTACGTAAAAGGATAAACATCCCTGCCACACTCATCTCCAGGTCGTTCAGTGTCGCCTAGCTGAAGGTATACTCCTGGAAGTAGTGAATCTCTAGGTCCATCATGGTCATCATCATCCTCCACCTCTTCCAATATGACGTTCGAATTCCTAAACAGGAAAAAGCTTGCAAGATCGTTACGGTTACCCATCTATTTCGAATAGCTGAATTTGGCCAAAGACCCTAACGGCATGGTAGAATTGTTAGGCTATCGGAAGAAAGGACTTTTTCCTTGGTGAAGTACTGCACTCTGCAGGAATGCTCCAACCTTCCGTGATTGTAAGAAGGAGCACAGGTAAAGGAACTTGCGATTAGACCCGTTATGAGCGTCGTGTGAACTGCCTTCACACTATTAACTGTTGTGTAAAGGGAATTCCACGCAGTTTGTCCCACCCACGAAAAGTTCCGCGTTCTTTCGTTGCCAGGCTTGCAGCGACTTGTGGTATTTGCTAACAGTCTGTATCTCAAATCCTGCACTGTGGATTATTGTCGGTATTCGGAATTTAGTGGCGCCTAAGCAAGAAGCGATTGCTGGCTTTAATTACTATTGGACGCTGTTTAATAAATTTCTTATCAGTGCTTAACTTTCGCGCATTTCTTGTTTACCGTATCAAAAAGTTACATTAAACATTAACCAATAAATATAAATATGGATGAGGCGTGCAGTAACTTTTTAACTTCTTTTCATTCTCCCTGGTGAAACTCGTTTATTCGTAGGTTCGATAAGGGACCTTTCTACTCATCTACGAGTCACTCGCATTCTCGCCGTCAGACACTCGGAAATCCGAGCACTTGAGAACGAGCGACTGATTTGCATGATTTTCAAATCGTGTTGAGCCATCTAGCAACCAACCCTGAATTTTCCCATTCCATCAGCATTAGTATAGAATCGTGCTGCATAAAAGGGTTGTGTCTGTTAAACGCCACACAGTTGGGACTTATCGAGAAACGGATGTGTGAGGCTTGGAATGCGGAAGTTTAGGAACAGTAAAGAGAAGCAGAAAAAGTCTCACAGGAGCATTACTATCCCTCTAACGGTAAGGGCAATATGATTGACCCTTACATTGGCTAGATGTGTATCGTAAGCTTTGGATGGAGTTATACTTGTTCGTTTTTCTTAAGATACGCCAGTGTTCGACACTCGTTTAGAATTGCTTTCGACGACTTCCACTTCTTGTCCACCACAAATTATTGGATGCATCGAATTATTCAATTTTTGAACGAAGATAAGGAATAAGGTGTTGCCAAAAAATTTTTGGAAACGAAAAGGCCGAAAGCAATTTAAATGACATTTTATAAGCCTGAAGATCGATGCAATGAAGAAGGAAGGCGACTTTACGTCACTCATGTATTTGCACAAAATTTTCATCTGTCATTCTCGTTCGGAATAAAGACTTCAGTAACAGCAGGCCAAGGTTGTCTAATCTTAACAAGAGAGTGGAAATGAAAAAAGGCAAATAAAATAAGTGAATAATATTGAGGCGATAGAAGGAGCTGACCGACTTAAAAATGGAAGCAGCAGAAGGCTTTATCGGTATACATTCCAAGGACAAGGAAACATTTTTTAGTTGAACGATAAAATGCGTTCTAAGTGCATCAAATAGACAAAAAAAAACCGTCAAAAGACTATTATTGTACTTCTCAGTACCGCGCGCATTCGTTCCAATCCGCAATTGCATCTGAGTGAAATTCCAAGCTCGTATATGGATGAACAAATGATCTAAGAAAGGTGTGTCCTATGCAGCTACTCGAGCTTGTTATCATCACAGACGTCACTTAACACGTTGACGACATCACGTGTTTTGCATTTTTGACCTGGTGGTACAGGAGGAATTTTGCGAGCGCGCCGTCCTAAGCTGACTTCCGCTATTTTCTGTTTGAAATGCACAACAACTTGAAACCATAGGATTATTCGGCACAGGATGAAATTCTGTGAAGGATTACCTGTTATACAATTGTCCAGCAGCAAATTGTGTTTGGAAGCAGCCCAAATGGCTATGAAGGAGTAAGAAACATCCACTGTCGCTGCGAAAGAAATACAAAGCACTTTAATACATTTAATCTACCGTCGAACACAATATCTTTGAGTTTTGGTATTAACTTCTTCTACAATCCTTCACATAAACGTTCACGACAGTTGAAGGAAAATTAGGAAAGAATTGGTGTGAAAATTCCGTAAGTTTCACAAAATCTTTGGTAAATCAGGGCACATTTGACCACACAGGCGGACATGCGGTTTGTGGTTATCCTACATGATTATCTATCAAAAAGTTTGAGCACTGAAGGAAGCGGAGCAACAAATGAAAATGAATGATATGGTTCTGACGCGCATGCGCGTCGGAATGTCCGAGGCGGTGCCAAACTTGTGACGCGTGTGCGCGTCAGCCTATCTACAACGCGCGTCAAAGACCATGAAAATTTAGTGCTTGGTTAGAATGAGTGGAATTCGAAACGAGACGTGTTCTTCAAGCTGTGGCGTAAGAAGTGGCGCCACTTGCTGATTGCATTCTCTCGTTAACTATTTCGACTTTCATCTTCAATGGGCTGATTTTTGCAGTCCAATACGATTGTAAGGAGGTCCATTCCCTTAGAAGGAAGGGCAATCATAACATGAGCTTCTTGCAAAAACTCATAATCCTTACAATTTCATGATCACAATTGTTTGTGTGCTTGCGCTGCGCCTAATGAACAGATTCTCGGAATTGAGCTCACCAAAAAATTGATGCCATACTGGCCGACGTTTCTTTTAGATTTTCTATCGGCCCCCCATTGAGTCTGCCGATATCGTAAACATAACAACCAAGGCAAATTTGCCCACGCGGTATCATAGTGCCTTCAGCGAGTGTTGGATACATAGTTGAATGGTTTTCGACGAAGTCTTTATAGACTTACAATATCAGGGGACCTTGTAGTGCGCCGGCAGGTATGCCAGATTGACACGTCATTCAAACACCCACACGACTTCAATGGAAGGCGACTGCATGGCGTATTTCAAAAACGAGGCTCAGCAGGACCACGCGACTAAGAAATGTACATGTCGTAATTTTGAGCTTACTCATCCCAAAAATGTCGGTCAGGTTAACTCCAGGTAAGACGAGAACGATGAAGTCCAGAGATATCCTTCTGAAGCTTTATTCTTGCTCAATATGACCCGAGGTGGATAATCCTTACACTTGTCCGAGGCAGGATTAGCTGTCAGATAAGTGGAAGAATTCACGAATAGTACATCAAGATTTCAAAACCGATCCACTTTCTTTTTTTCCTCCCTTCCTTACTGAAGTGCCACAGGGAGATTTTTCTGCAAGTTTGGATCGCGTCTAAGGGCACGTGCGAAACGGAATTTTAACAACTCCCTTGATCATCCTCCCGAAAAAACTTCCTAACAACAATTTCTTATGTTTTTCTACACAGACTCTACTGCTTTCCCTCAGTATCGGACATCTAACCTTCGGGACACGCCCCTTACAACATCCTTGTTACACGCTTCCTTGCCCCTATTCGCCAGGGCTGCACGCGCTGGCTGATGCACGCCCCAATAGACATTTCCTCTTGTCTTTTGATAGCTAGCCCACTTCCTCCTGGTGTCCTCACCATGATTGCGCAATGCCACCAATCATTGTCGCGGTGCCTTTTCGATTTTAATTACTAACGATTAATTGCCACTAATTACTCTAAATAGCCCAACGAACAAACAGGAAACACACGCCTCATCTATCATTCTTGACACATTCTCGAAAAAAATGCTTTGAACGGGGTTTATGAGGAAACTCGTCCTTCTGTGGGCGTGGTTAGCCAACAAACTAGCAATTAATATTTATTGTTCAGCCTCTGCACTAATAAAAATGACTATATCAAACAAATACTTACTTATGAAGTAATTACACTGATCACCGAAAATATAGGTTTTAGGTTCTGTACAAGAAAGCAGCAGTGTGTGTGTACCAAAGACGCGAGCGCGACATGAAAACACAACCGCCTCACTGAGATCGATATATCGATCGAAAAATTGATCGATAATCAGATAGCATCTCAGGTAGGCAGTTGCGATTCCAGTGACCCGCTTAAATCAAGCATTTAACTATACTAGAGTTCTACGTAGCAAACAAAAGCACATAAACGTTGGCCATTCAGTGGGATAAAATCAATAAATCAATAAAAGCTTGGTGAGCATGTGTAGATCACTAACTGTACATTGGCAACGTTTGTCATCACAAAAAAGAAAAAGAGCATTATTATCGGAAAAACATCAATATTGTAAGGCAACTCGTGATGAGGGGAGAGTTGAACAGACGCGCGTGCGGCCAGCGAGCGGTCGAGAGACAATTATCGATCTTTTTCGTCGAAATCGCGTCCGCTTGCCTGTCGCGCGCGCGCGTTTTTGCATACATATTGTGCATGCGCGATGCGCGCGTTATCTAGTACCGGTTTTCAATAGACCAAAGGCCTGAGTAAGTGCATAGGTGAAATTCAAGGGAAACACACATAGAATGCACATAGAAATGACTAAATCTTTGACAAGTAATATAGTACTTAGGTAACGTATGAGAAATGTGAGAGGTACTGCTCGAGCAGTGCAACAGCGTCCGGTCGTCCCATCACCCGCAACGTCTGCAGCAAGTCATGAGCGGCTCGTAATGAACCACATTCCCTTGCTTCCCACAGATCGAGCAGCAATGTCGTTGGAGAGCAGCCAGGACGAGTGGCAAAGTACTGTAACAGGTGATAGCTAGCGAGTGGTCTTACATGGAAAACCTTAAAAGCTGAAGATAATATACCTGGATATAGCGGTCTGTGTGAAGCTTCTTAGCCAGACCTCGCCAATCGCGATCCGGATCGGTGGGAGGATCGAGCAGTTGAGATAACTCGTCTTTCACCTCGACAGGAAGATTAAAGTCCGTCGTAACGACACGGTCCTCTTCAGCTGGTGGCTTGTCGTACTGAAAGCTAAATTTTATAGGAACGAAGCTGGCGATAAGGACCTCCTGACCCAGATTTGAAGACGGAATCTGCGATGGAAAGGCAGCCCAATAGAAATAGAGGCAGAGGTGGTTACCGGTGCAGGGATGACGAAAAACCATGAAAATCGACCCAGAACCGGGAAACGGGATCCCTTCTTGCCCGTTGATTTCCGCATTGATGCAGTCTGGTCGCGTTTCTCATTGTACGCATCTTCAGCGAAACTCCTCTCTTTCCAGGCAGCTAGACATCGTAAGAGAAAGTTGCATCAGTGGATGAGCAACGCGGCGCGGGCGGCGCGGGTAGGCTGTAGGACATATTCTCCGTGCGGAACTGCGAACGTCCTGCCCTTCCGGAGGTCACCCTTTCCGTCAGGTTATTCCCTTTTCAATTCACACCTATGTGGGATCTAATTTAAGCCGTTCAAAAGTCGGATTCGCTTTCCCTCATATTGCTAACACGACGATGTATGGGTAAGGCCTAATTTCCCTGATAATGGCCTCAGACAAGTGCTCCTCAGAAGCGCACCTGAGCAGGAATTCTGACAAAATCAAAGAATTCAGCAGTCTGAACGAGTCACTTTGGGTAGATTACTATCGCAGAGCCGGGCCAAAACCATCTTAAAATGATCAAAAACCTCCTCCTTCCACCACACTTCATCACTGTCTTCCTATTTGGAGTTATAGTGTCCCAGACTGCTTTCTAAGTAGAGTGGGGATGAAATTGGTTTCAGCACCTTGTGGCCCTGCCCATGTCCAGATCATGCCCGAGTGAGAGACCAAGAGAGTTCAGGCGAATTTCGAGTTAACCAATGACGACTTACGATGCTGTTCTCGAATCGCACTTGCAACACATGCCGTTCGGCATTGTTCGTTTTCTGGTAGACGACAATCCGAGCCATGAAGTTGTCCGCCGGCCTCTTCATGTCGCTGCACACTGTGATGGAGCAATGCAGACCGTTTTGGCTGCACCATTGGTGATGGGTGTCCGGAATTTCCTGAAAGGGGTGGGTCATCAAGAAACACGTCGTAAAATGGACAGCCTAATGAAAAAAGTGGAAGATTGAGTGTCATAATAAAAAAATAATTAATAATCGTAATAGTCATAAGTAAAGGAAAACATTGCGTGAGCCCGTCCATGAAGGGTGCACTTCAACTTCTTGACTATTTCAGATTTGTGGAAAGATTTTGATGATAGTTCATAGCATAGGATACCTCTTGTGACACAGTTCGCGGTAGATTTAGATATCTTTAAGGGCACACTCAGGGATAAAAACGGTAAGGGTTTCTTTGTACAACTATGAAGCCTGGGTGCTTTTTGCTATCGAAACATGGGAGGAAAAAGCAGGAACACCCCCAAAATAGTTCAAAGCTGATAGACGTATTCACAGCGACTGTTAGCTTTATGTCATCAACCACTCGGCTACAAAAACTCAGCGATGAGAATCGATTACTTTCAACTTCCGCTATTTTTCTAATTATTTGCGCTTTTTTGTTTGTTTTCCTTATTTTAGAAATTTGATTCCTTAGAATGAGTGGCAAAGTTTCCTGTAATGGCCGTAACATAGGCTTTGGTATTGAAGTTGACAGTTGGAAGTCCGCCACCTAATCCTCCTACGACCTCCCAAATAACAACTTGACATCTAGTGTTTTATGTGGTTACTGGAAGCGCTCGCATCGGAACGTGCAGCGGGCCCTCCAATCCTAGGCTTCCTCGCGCCTAAACCTTGTCAAATGGTCCTGCCGCTTCTGCACATGGTCTGCCCTTGCGTACTGCTGCATGTTTGACGGAGAAAACCTAAATCGCCAGAAATCTCGAACTTTGCCTTTTAAGTCTGATTCTCATGCAACCAAAAGTGATCAGGACCTCATTAGTACTACGCAGATGTTTAATAGCAGAAAATCGCGACAGAGGCTAACAGTGGTTGCTGCCCGAACACCTCCTCAATTACTCAAGAGATTCAAGCCAGCAAAAACCTCAAAACAAAACCTTCAAATTAAGCAACAGTAAATACATCCAATAAGCTATTTCGCTCCTTAGCAGATAAGACAATAATAAAGCGCTCTGGCAATTACTCGAGTTCCTGGAAGAAACGTCACCAACACTTCTACCATGGCCCTCTCACGGCGATCGGGCAATAAGCAGGGCCAAGGGTAAAGGTCATACATGGTCCATGCGCGTCACATCATGCTGTGGGTTACAGCCCTCTCACCACAATACGTGATAATGCTTTTCGCTCATGTGAACCGACTTCCCTAAAGCAGGGTCAACCGTACGCTGTGCCATGTTCGACGACGAGGGTCATATTGTGAGCAATTGGAAAAGAAGGGGTCGTACTGAAAACCTGACCACTTCGACAATTAGTTGAGTGGGCCAATTGGTTGCAGGCAGGGTCAACCGTCCGTTCGCACTATTCGAACGAATGTGGTTTCAGGAAGGTGTGGGGGTTGCATTTTGTGGTTGAGCTCGTTCAGGGGTTGCCATTCAGACGGGTTTCTGAAGGATTTGGTGAATTTTCTAGGAAAGTTAGGTGGAGTGGGCAAAATTGGAGGATTTGCCGCTTCATGGTACCAAGATGCCCTCCTGTTTCCTCTCCAGGTCGACGGCTATTTTGGAGGGGAAAGTGGGCGGGGTTGAGCTGTGTCAAGTGGTCTTAGGACGGTGAGGTGGTGGGTCGAGTAGGTAAGGGGAAGGGTTGTATTCTGGGAGCCTCCTCAGACTGATGGTGGTGGGGATCGCATGAGACCCCTGAAAGGGGGTCGAAAACTTTTGACAAGTTACGAACGGGACTGCTTGACCCTGGCTGCAGGTTTAATGACACTATCAAATGTTGAAGGGGTATCATCAAGGGACTCACTCCAGAATAGGGGCCGGTGGGAATTTTAAAATGAGAACAAAGAAGGGCCAACGAGGCCTTCAGACATGATAGTCGGCGCACTAAAACAAACTCATCACAAGCTTCATAAGGATTGGTCGAAACGGGAACTTTTTGACATTTCAAGAAGAATTTTCGTTTTTGAATTTTTTCTCTGCCGAACCCCCGGGGACAACTTATAAAGGCAAGTGCGCAGTGGAGGCAATATAGTTTGGATCAGTGGACTAATTGACTGTGGCTGTGTAATTCGAGTGATTCACTTAATACCCGCTCCGGCTGGTTGCCTGCCGGCGGCGATCTTAATCGGATTTCAGGATTTGGTGGAACGGATATGATTCGACTTTGATTCCATTTCGTGATGAGTTCCGAAGAGTGTAACGAGGTGTGTGGCTGAACGTCGTAGGGATAAATCAACACCAAGAGGATTACGGTAAAGGAAGCATTGGGAAGGCCCAGAGCAGTATAGGAGCTTTTTGGTGAAAATAGGACCAACATCTGCCACAGAACCTGGCCGCCTTCGATGTTTCGAGTGGGGTGAGAACCAGGGTCTGTCCTATCGTTGTTACTTTTCGAAAAATTTTTACGACCCCCCTCCCCCAACGTGGATTTGATACGACCCCCTTTTCCCTACCTCCACCATCTCCATCTTCCATCAAAACCCCGCCCACTTTTTCCTCCAAAAATGCCGTCGAGCGGGGGGGGGGAGGGGTATAGTGAGTCACTCTGAAACAGTAAACATCTCACAGAACCTGGCCCCTCGATACTGGTTTCGAGTGGAGTGAGAACATTGAAGGAGTAAGCCTGAAAAAGGTTCGCCATTTTTGGGGTTTATGAAACTTCAAGGATTTGCAAAGGAGTATGAGGGCGTGATTAGGAAATTCAACCTGATTATATCTTGCACGCATCTAGCCAAAACGTGGACACCGCGATGAGTTTGGTGGTGATCGCAGTGATGTTTGTGGAGGCAGGAAACTACTGGTGGTTGAGACAGGGTCAACCGTTACGTTGGACCGATATTGGAGCGACGTTGGACCGATGTTCACCGCTCTCCGCGCCGGCATTCACTCTCGCCACCCGCGAGCCGTCTGTGTCTCCGTGCGTACGTTCACTCTCGGCATTACTCTCGTCGTCGCGTGGAGCTTGTCCAACGGAAGGTTGA